CAGCGAAGCTAGATTTTTTTTAAATGGTAACTTTCAGGTATTTCAACCAGTTTTATGTTGTTTCTCAGATCAATTTTTTTTCTAATGAGAAGCTTCACCTTCTCGTCTGTTTTTCATTCTTTAGTTTTATTATTATTATTATTTCTTGGTGTCTTATAACGTCATTAGCTTCCCTTTGTCCAATTCTAATTTTTAAGGAATTATTTTCTTCCTTAACTTTTTGGAAATCTTTTTTTTTTCCCAGTTGGTTGACTTCTTTTTTTCAGAATTTTCTTGATTTTCTTGGATTGTTATTTTTTCTAATATTTTTTTCTAATATTTAAAAAAATATTTCCTCAACCTCTCTTATTTGATTTTTTAAAGTCCCTTTTAAGCTCTTTCAAGAATTCTTTTTGGGCTTATGTATTTAATATTTTTCTTTGAAGTAGGAGTAACTTTTTTTTTAACTCATCTTTCTTCTTCTAAGTATGAACCCAGATCTCTCTCTCCATAGTAGTTATCTATGATTGGTTTCTTTCTACTTTGCTTAAACTTTATTGTTGTTTTTTCAGTTGCTTATTATTATAATCAAGTTCTGCTCCCAAGGTGTGGGAGATGATGCCACAGGCTTCAGGTTTTTTGTACTGTTGTTTTCTGAGCTCTGTCTGTGGTCCTAAGTTCAGGCACTCCTCTCCACCCCTGAGCCACAGCTGGGGCCCCCATCTTCACCATCCCTGCAAATGTTCTTACACCCTGAGGTCCCTCCCAGCTCCAAATATCAGTTCACCCCCTCTGCCCTGAAACCAAAACCAGGGACTCTGCTCTCCTGCAAATGTCCACAGCCAGTAAGGTCCCCACTCCTCTGCTACCACATTCACCAAGAGTGCACTTGCTTCTCCTCACCCACTGCTACAGCCTGGGACCACAGGTCCTATCACAGCAGAGGGGCCATCAATCTTCTCCTGCTCAGCTGTCAGGCCCCCACATTATCAATGGGGTGAAAGTTCCTGAAGCTTAAAGCCCACCTCCCAACCTAACTTCCCCCAGGTTGTTGTTTATTGATTCAGCAGAGTCTGCCTGGAGATGTTCAGAACTTCGATCAGGCCACTGGAAGTTCAAGTCTTTTCTGAGATCTTCTTAAGTCCTGTTAAGAGGACAGCTGCCTTACCCAGACTTAATTATTTCAGCACTCAAAGTTCATTTTGAGGTGACATTTTAGCTTGTTTGTGGGATAATTTTGGAGAGCCCATTATTTACTGTGTTATTTAGCCATCTTCCTCTCTATGATTAACTCTTAATTTTGCTATTTGACTTTATGCAAGTTATGTGACTTCTCTGAGTCTCACTTTCCTTATCAATAAAATTTAAGTATTTTGTTGTTATACGCCTACATATGCATGTCCACATGTGTATTTGTATATGCATATGTATGTATGTTCATATAAGTATATATACACATGTGTGTGTATATGCATGTATATTATGTATATTTATATTTGAATGCATCTCTAGTTCTCTACCACCTATATAAATATCTATCTAATTAGGGTTGTATTGAGAGTGGTCTGAGATAATGTAAATGAAAGCATTTTTTAGTTGGAGAGAGGTCTATAAAATGTATAGAGTAGAATTTTATAACTTCAATAGTGCCATGATTTTATCAGTGCAAGCCTTTTCACTCCTAGGGATTTTAGTGGACTTTATAATAAAGTCAATGACTCAACAGGAAGATATGACCATTATAAAGGCCAATGTGATCTGTGGCATCATAAGGGGTGGCTTATGTCCAGTACTAGGGAAGTAATCATCTCCCTCTGATCTGTAATGGTGATACTACATCCAGAGAATCCCAGTCTCTTTTAGGAACCACATTTCTGCAAAGAGCATTGATAGGTATTTTAATTTCTAGAGAAAGACATCCATCATGCCATTTGAGGATGAGCTAAAGAAACTGGGGTGATCAAACATGGAAAAGAGAAAACATGGAGGGAATATGATAGTGATTTTCAAGTATTTGAAGACAGATTTGACTTGATCAGTCTGTCTGCAGAGGGCAGAAACAGGGGAAATGGATGCAAGTTGTAAAGAGAAAAAAAAATTAAGTTTGATGTCAGCGGAAGAAAAGTGCTAACAATTAGATCTCGGCATAAGAGGGTTGGGCTGCCTTAAGGTAATAGGTTTTCTCACATTGAAAGTCTACAAGTAGAGGCTAGAAAATATTTTTTTGTGTGTTTTTGTTGGGATTCTTTTTTGGGTATGGCATGGACTATCTGGCCTTTGAATTCTTTTCCAACTCTAAAAGTATGTGATTCTGCAATATAGGTATACTTGCATATGCATATAGAAACATCTACATATATGTATATGTGCATATGTGGATTTATATGTGGAGAAACACCTAAAAGAATAATAATAACAATAACTAGCATTTTAAGATTGGTAAATCCCTTTACAAATATCTCATTTGATCTTCCCAACAACCCTGTGATATAAGTACTATTTTTATCCCCATTTTATAGATGAGAAAATTGTAGCAGATGGAGGTTAAATGACTTGCCCAGGGTCACACAGCTAGTAAGTGTCTGAGCCCAGATTTGTACTCCAGACTTCCTGACTCCAGGTGCAGTGCTCCATGCAGTATGGTGCCACCTAGCGGCCTTTATAAGCATTTACATTGGTATCTGTGTGTCCATAAACATTTGTTGTCAGAGGTGGTATACTGTTGACCCCAAGCATCCTTTTGGGACATTTTTTTAGCTCCCTTTTTTTGCAAATTTAAGGGAGAATTCTGCTCCTACGTAGTTATGATAAAGTTCTACTTCCTTCGTATTCTTTTCAGAAGAACTAAGGGAGCGTGATATGAGTAATAATAGAAGGAGCACTAGATTTGAAGTCAGAGGAGATGGTTTGGCTACTTGTCTCTGCCACTTGGGCAAGTCAATGAACCTCATTGAGCCTCAGTTTCATCTTCCATGAAAGAAGGGTACTGGATTAGATAACTTCTGATGTCCTTTCAATTTCAGCATCTATATTCCTACAGTTCTATGCTTTTCATATTCTAAGAATCTGAAATCAGAATCAAGTCAAAGGAAGAGAAGCAGGAAGGGATAAGCATTTATATAGCACCTACTATGTGCTAAGAACTGTGCTAAGAGCTTTTAAAAATATTATCTCATTTTATCCCTACAATAATCCTTGAAAGTAGGTATTATTGTTGTTCCTATTTTATATTTAAGGAAACTAAGGCAGACAGAGGTTAAGTGACTTTCCCAGAATCATATAACTAATTTGAACACAGGCCTTCCTGACTCTAGGCCCAGTTTTTTATCCCCTGTGGCACCAGCTAAATATTGAAATTTTACTTAAAAAAACCCTTTAAAGCTCTGCCATATTGAACATGCCCTTGAAGTCTGGGTTATTGACTTGATTTGAGACTTCTCCCACAGAAGTTCTGACCTTTGATCCTATCTTCAGGTCTCCCTAGTAGTGCTCACCTTCTTCCTCCACTCCTGGAGCATCCAGAAACCATGTATTGATCAGTAGCTGAAACACTGACAAGAGGGACAAATGAATTGAGACCTTGGATTTATTGCTTTTCTTTCCTGGATCAAAGATGTTTCCAAAATCCTGGTCTAGAATAATGAGGAAGCTACTAACAGTTTATTGAGATAACACTGGGAAAGGAAAATCCAATAGCCCCTTTGAGATTGGTTCCTTGAATCAGGTCCTTTGTCAACATCAAATGCTGTGTAGCTGAGGGCATCAGAGCACAGACCCTTTCCAGCCAGAACGGATGTCATGGTCTACATCAGGGTTTCCCATCCCAAACTGCACTACTGAGATACAAAATAGCTAACTTCCCTGCCACGAATGACTGCCCTCTGCAGCCTTCAGCTGCTGAGTCACTGTGACTCAGGGACAGAGAGGGAAAGAGAGAGAGGAAAAAGGGGACAGGTACAGGGACAACAGAAAGCTCAGTGAAGGACTGTGTATTTGCATTTCTTTGTCTCCCTAGCATTTAGCAGTGTGCTTGGAACTGAGAATCATCATATAATGGGATTGTTTCAAAAGAAATCCTGCCATCCAATATCCTGTGAGGAAAAGTTTGCCTGGGGATGGGCTTTACACATTTATAAGAAAACCCCATATATCTTATGATTTTACAAAGAAATCTTCTAGAGGAAATGTATCCCGTCTTCCTATGAGTTCCATGTCATGCCAGATATATTATTAACTTCTCCCTGAATTGTTCTGTGGGTAGTGATGAAGTCTGCTACGGACAGACCCCCTGGAACTCGGGATGAACTTTGTTACCCCCTTTTCTAGGAGATGAGATATATACTGGTGTGGCAGAAGACGGCACAAAAAGGTGATTCCAGGTAGTAAGGTAGCCTGGGACATTTGTAGGAAGAATGTAGGAATCCACATTTGTACCACTAACATGTAATTAAAAAGTGATTTCAATTCATTGATGTAATTATTCCTCACAATACAATAGAACAACTGAATGAAATTCTGATCTCTTGCAAACAGTTCTCTTATCCTTTAACTCATTGGGATTCTTGAACAGACATATACTTAGGAATTTTTATGCTTGTGACATATATTACAATCCTAGGATCAGGAAAGTGATACAAAATGGGTCCTCAGCTGAGGGGGAGTTAAACAGAGGGGTAGGAAGAGGCACTCACTATAGCCTGCCACTCGGCAGATTTCTACTTAACAAATTATCCTTGCTAACTGGGGCCTAAAAGCTACCATTTCTATACTACTGAACCTATGCAGGTACCACTAATCCCCTCTAAATTTGGCATTCTGAGGCTAAGCTGTAGTCCCTGCCTTTAGTTACAGATCTATTCTAGGCCCATGAGGAATCCTATGGGTCATTGCTTGCTTGTCCCCACTTCCTGATTGGATAGACGTAGGTTTGCTCTGAGTTGGGAAGGGGAAGAGGTGAGGACTAATGCAACATGGGAATGGTCATTCTTTTCTTTAAGTCTTCATTCTTTTCTCCTCCACAGCTGGCGACTTGGGACTCAGAGAAAGGTCTGAATGGCAGCCTGCAGGAGAGGCACACAGGCAGTCACCTCCATGGACTGACACTCAAAGTGGTGACTGTCTTGGTAGGATCATGTTCAGGAATCAAAAGTTCCATGCTGTCTATTGCTAAATGTCTTTACCCCTTCTAACATTCTATACCCTTGTTAAACTAATAATGTTGCCTTGGAGGGGAAAGACTTGAATGATGGAGCTAGAGGACGTTTTCAAAACTTGGCTCCATACTAGCTATATCAGACATATTTCTACTCTCTATTTTCCTCTTTCTGGATATGCCTTTACTTCAATTCTGGCAGTAATGGTGAAGATAATAGCATTTTCCTCCCGCTCCTAGAGGTTTCCCTCTCTCCTCCCACACCCAGTTACCTAAGCACATTCTATTAATGGAAACAGTTCCTTAAGCTTCTTTCCCAGACAGATCACACTAGATTTGGTGAATGCATAAGGGAATAATGAGATATGTTAGCATTCCATGTAGTTACCCATAGAATCAAACAGTTTACAGTGTACTGTGAAAAAAATAAGAGAATATACATTTATGGTTAATACTCAGAGTCCCAAATCCTTGATCTTAATTCTAACCTCATTGGCCCATAATGTGATCTTAATGAAATAATTGAAGTCTATTTGTCAAGACAACCTAGTATACAGACCACTTCTTTCTTTATATCATCATAGCATGAGTTATCATACTTTAAATCCTATGAGAAGCATTTATCTTTCTTAAGCGGAGTCTTAAAAATTACAGACAGATATCAAGTCTGAAGACTCAGCACATATGTGAACACAGTACCCTGTCAGGTCAGATTATAAGACATAACATGCTGTTTCAGCTATTTGTGAAGAAACCAAGGATAATACAAAACATTTAAAAAATTTTTTTTATCAATTAGCACATTCATTTTGTCTGCCTTTTCCCCACATTGAAAAAAAAGGAAAAAAAAATCTTTATAATAAATATGAACAGTCACAGAAAACTGAAACTTACATATAAAATTTATCTTTCTTTCTGGATCTTGAGCCTATCACTTTTCTGTCAGGAGGCACATAGAATGTCTTCACAAAAACACATATTCTACTAGTACTACATGAAAGGACAGAGGCATGACTGTGATCATATGTTTTCCTAGATAATAAATGTTTAGGACAACAATGAACAGACCTCAAAGATCTGAACTAAAGATGATTATTCCATTGTTTGTGGACTGAGTTTCACCTACACCGATATCCTATAGATCCAAAAATATGGCTATTGGACAGAAGTCTGATATCTCTACAACATCGTCCCCAAAATAATAAATTATTATTGTTTTCATAATTATTCATAAATTATATTAAAATCTAATCTCCTTTAATATCTTATGTAGCCACAGCCCCAAACAAGCAAGCATTAACATCCTCGCTGCTCAATTATATTCTTTGAAAATAAGTGGCTTTAATATTAGCTTAAACATTGTATTTTTCTCAGGAAGAACCTTTTGTGATGGTGGCAGAGAATATACTTGGGCAACCGAAGCGCTACAAAGGCTTTTCCATTGATGTCCTGGATGCCCTAGCCAAGACCCTAGGATTCAAGTATGAAATTTATCAAGCTCCTGATGGCAAATATGGTCACCAACTCCATAACACCTCCTGGAATGGGATGATTGGGGAACTCATCAATAAGGTAGGTCTGATAAAAGAACATTGAAGTGAAGAAATGAGGCCCATTGGATCTTTGCATAACATTTGTAATCTATTCCTTATTGAGTCACAAAGAAAGAGCACAAATCAGGTGTATCCTATATTGGCTGTAATAGAAAAATAGTAGCACAGTGATAGAAGAGTTATCCCTCTATAAAGCATAACTTCTTGTGTGGTGCATTAATTTGGGGATAGAGCAGAAGACTCAGGCCATAATGACACGTCTGTAGAATAGCATAATATCCAGGATGGGACATGGTGTCAAGGAGAGCTTATTTTCCTGTCCTTAGGAAAACTTTGTATCTGAAAAATCCTTACTGCAAATACAGAGTAGCTTAGTATCCCTTCTGTTGTCGAGAAGTGCTGCTTAGAAGTGGAAATACAGCATTATCAAATTCTTGTAAATACACCAGTGTCATTTGGAAGGATACACGTACTAATCTGCCAAAACTCATGTATTTTATCCAGTTCCTTGTTTATCAAGCACTCTGGTGCAGTCAATAATGAAGATAGAGTCCTGGTATGAATGTCTGTCCATTTCTTAGGTGGAACTGAGTTATTGATCCTGGAATTGAGTGCCCCTGAGATTGAGCATCCTAAAACATTTCAGAGCATGACCAGCTTTCAAATCTGGAGGTTTGAGATACAACTTAGATGAAGCTAACTTCTTATCTTTTGACAAACAATTGGTCTCTATTGCACAGAAAGACCTATTTCATTGACCCTAGAGGGTTACTACTAGGGTTGCATCAGCTGTTAAGAATTTCAACTTGTTTCTGTTCCTATTCTAAAAGAGCCTAAAGTATATTAGTCTCCACAGTTCCATCCCCATGTTTTTGCTTAATTCTCCATCACTAAATCTTATCACCTGCCTTTCCCTCACTCCTTCCTCCATGAAGTCTGTATTGGAAAGAAGAATCACTGTCCAAGATGACTTACCAACTAGTACCTAAGTGTTAAAGACCTACAATGTGCTGCGTGTTTTGCCAGAGGCTATAGATAATAGAAGAAGAGAAAGCAGAATCTCTGACCTTCAGTCATTGACACCTTAACTGGTGAACAAGACTAAGTCATAGTAAGAAATTAATCAACGTGACTTGAGAGTGTGCAATGGTGTGGAGGTCATATTACTTAATGGATTGGGTGTTGGGCTTAGAATGTTCAAATCCCACTTTTGCCACTTATTAATTATGTAGCTCTGAACAAGTGATCTGATCTTTTGATGCCTTAGATAACTCCTGAGAAGGAAGTATGGGGTAGTTGAAAGAACACTGGATTTGGAGTCAGGGGGCAAGATTGAAATTGTTGTTCTGTCATTTTGCTAACCTTGAGCAGATTAATCAACCTCTTTGATCCTCAGTTTCCCCATCTGTAAAAATAGAAATTGGATTTGATGATCTTTAATATCCGTTCCAGCTTGAATCTATGATCCCATGATTCATGAATGGTTATAGATAGTTTGTGATATGTAGGAGGGAACTCCCAGCTTGGGGGTGCTCCCCTCTGGCCAAATTCAGAGTCTCTTTGCCTAGTCACATTATTGTGGGGTGTAGACAGTAAGTACTGAAGGAGTTTATAGGATAGAAAGCTCATTATGGGCTAGAGTCCTCCAGGAAGAGGAAAAAGAATAAGCATTTATAAAGTGCCTACTATGTGCCAGGCACTGTGCTAGGTACTTTTAACAAATGCTATCTCATTGGATATTCACCACAATCCCGCAAGGTTGGTGCTCTTCTTAAGGGCGGGAAGGCTTCCTAGGGGCAGATAAGGCCAACAGATTTGTGCAAATCATTTTTGAAACACATTCCTTATGCACTTAATATTTCTTAAGCACTATGCTGTGTTCAGGGGAGACATA